TTTTTTTTTTTTTTTTTTAGTTGTCACTTTCTATAGCGTTAAATATAAGTTAGTCTTCAAAGATAGCTCAGAGGCCAGGTGCAGTGGCTCATGCCTGTAATCCCAGCATTTTTCGAGGCTGAGGTGGGAGGATCACTTGAGCCCAGGAGTTCAAGACCAGCCTAAGCAACACAGGGAGACCCCATCTCTACAAAAATAAAAAGTAAAAAAAAAAAAAAATTAGCCGGATGTGGTGGCACATGCCTGTGATCCTAGCTACTTGGGAGGCTGAGGCAGGAGGATCACTTGAGCCCAGGAGGTTGAGGATACAATGAGCTATGATTGTGCCACTACACTTCAGCCTGGACAGCAGAGCGAGACCTTGTCTCAAAAAGGAAAACAAACAACAACAAAAAACAAAGATAGCTCAGAATTCACTGGATAAGCAAACAGTTTAGCTAGACTCAGTCTGCAGGTAGAGCTCAATGAAAGGAGATTTTGACTTTCCTTCAGAGAAATGACTAAGCATTAATGTATTCATAGACATCATTGAACCTTCTGGGCAGTTAATGGGAGGAGACTCTGCTACAGTGAAAGGAAGGGGTGGAGGTTGCTGTTATTTACAAACTCCCTTCAGAATGGAGACCCAAGTACCGGTCACTTCCCAGCTACAGTTGACATCCGGTAACCATCCTTGGTGAGCCACATTTCCTTTCTGCCTCTGCCAAGAGGCTCCCCCTAGCTCCTCATGGGCCACTTTCTGGCTGTGAGCTGATCAGGCAACTTGTACAGGGTCACGGGGTCAGAGGACTCTTGAAAGAGGGGTGGGAGCATGAAGCCCTATGATTCAGGGATCCTGGGACTTGTTTGTTTTGTAGGGTTAGAGGGATGGAGGAAAATCTTCCAAATCAGCAGCCTCGAATTCACCAAGAATTTCTACAAGATGAATTTGAGTTGAACCTTCAGTCGTTCCACGAAGAAGGTCTGCTCGCCACCCTCAAAGCCATCTGCCTTTCTGTCTCGGTTTATTCACAGATCCTTTCAGAGACCAAAAAAAGCACCCAAGAGAAGCGGGGACAGAGATGTGGTAGAGGAAAAGACACAATACCAAGAACGCTCCGCAAGCACTTACTCACTTCCTCTGAGCCTTAGGAGTCCTACCTAAAAGGTTTCTTGCTTATTTTTCTATTACACTGTCACTCCCATCCGGTATGCAAACAGAGTCGGCAATGCCTACTACAGTAGCTCGCTGGCTGCAAGGTGCAGGTGCTGTTCAAAAGCGACATCGGGGTCCTAAAAGGTGGGGAAAAGCAGCAGAACTTGCATGGCAGTTGATTCTTTCCTGAAGAATAGGGTCCGCCCAGCCCCACCAGGCAGGAGGTGTCCTGAGTCAGCCTGGCGTTCAGCCCAGTTCTGTGCACTTGGGTGACAGGTGGTGCCCCTGCACTGCCACCAGTAGCATATGTGGGAGCTCTGGGCCCTGACCATCTGCCAAAGCTAATCTGACGACAAGCAGATTTGCTCCCATCCATGCCCAAGGAGAGGGCTAGGCAGGCCCCTTGCTGCGTGATTCTCGAAACCAGGATCCCGCGATCCGCTTCTCCTATGGCTGCAGTCCAAAGGCTGGAGTGGGGACGTCACCTGCACCAGGCCACTTCGCCAGACTGTGGGCGTTCCAGGGCAGGGGACAGGGGTGGCACCCTCCAGGCGTGCAGGCGTGAGGACAAGTGCGGTCCCTCCTCGCTCCCTCCCCCCGAGTGTTCGGGCAAACAGCCTGGGGGTGGTGGGGAAGGCGGCGTGCCCAGCCCTTCATCGCCCCAACCTTTCCCATGGCCCTGGCCGCCGCTGCAGCTGGGGC